GCTTATTTTTCGAAAATGTAAAAAAAATCAGACGAGAAATTAAAAAAATATACACAATCAGCTTTAATCTAGCTTTAGATATTACTTAATCAATAATTCTGCCATTTTTTTCGGTGTGAAAGATATATCATTTTATTTACTCCATCGTTATTTTTCATTGTTGCTGTTTTTGTTGCTTGGTTATTTTTGTTATTCTTGTTGTCTTAGTTGTTTATGTGTTTTGGCAAATGCATAATAAGACACACTCTGGCTTCATCCTAGGTTTTCATACTGCCCTCTGAAGCAGCGCCATGAACAACGGATGTGTAGCCGTGCCGATACTTTCAGGTGCGTAGTCCAAAAGACTTTGGTTGAGAATGGAGCTGCAAATGCCATATGGTGAATGACACTATACACAGAGATTAAAATTCCAATCGCTTTTTATTCAAATGACTGGATTTATTGCAGATGCATGCATTATACGTGCAAATGCAGTACATGTTTATGCATGTGAATAGGGAGTGACGGTATGCATGTTTCATGTTACAATGCAGATAATACCATTATCATTATAGGCATTATATTCACTAAAACTGCTAATTTAACTGGTGACGGTGGTAAGTATATCATAATCAGCTTCAGTATCACCGTCACTATGACCACCATCATTATCTTTATATAATTCTAATCACACGAGCTTCATGCTTATGAGCACCATTGTCATTATCATCATCATCACTATTATTACCATCACCACCCCCATTTTCATCCTCCTCATCAGTATCCCCATCATCATTACTGCTACCACATGAAGTATGACAATGTCTATACTAACCAAATATTTTTCAAGATTTAATTGGCTTTGACCTATACGATGTCATCTCTTCAACTAAAACTAAAACTGCATTTAAAAAGGGTGATTGCTATTGTTCTCAAAATCTTTGTCAAACGAGGAAGTGTTCATATTTATGGTTTCATTCAAACTCTGGTCACCCCCCCCTCCCCCATCCCCTCTCGCATTCTTCCGCTAGTATCAAGGATAATGAATGATGAAAACACTGATACTATGGATGTGGGTTTTTCTACCTTCAAGGATAATGTAAGGATAGGATTGGTTAAGTTAAATCGGGAGATGTTTTTAGCTAGGTTAGGTCTTGCAAGGTTAGTTTAGGTTAGGTGGGACCGTTAGCATAGGTTAGGCTAGGTCAGATTAGGTCATGTGAGGATAGGAAATTTAAGATAGATTAGGTTAGTTTTAAGAGGTTAGTCTGGGTTAGATAAGGGAATTTAAGGTTAGTACAGAGTGTAAGAGAAAATTAAACTATATTTACAATTTCAATATAATAAAGTGTGCACGGATTACTTAAATAATGATCACAACAGTCAAGACTCAACCCTACTGATATGAAGCAATAGAAGTGCACATTTTTTTTTTTTTTTTATCAAAGCAAAGGCTGCTAATTTGCTTTCTTTCCCTTAGAGGAAACGTTCTTGGTTTTTGTCCTTTCTCTTCCTCTGTTTCCGCAGTCTTTCATGGTGGTTAACACTCTTTTTAATTGTTTTTATTATGTATATATTTATTACCTGTTTGTTCGTCCTAAATCATGCTGTGTCTACACTTTCAGCAAAAGGGCCATCTGGCTTGCATTTGGTGTTAGAATAAATGCATTTTCCCTGTAACATTCTTTGGTAATTTGACTGTAGTATAGTTCTGTTCTGTGTATTTTTAGTTTGCAAAGTAATTTTCAACAAAAGGAGCATCTTGGTTAGTATCTAGTGCATTTTTTCTTGTAATATTCCTTTGAATTATCTGTGCTAAACATATCTATGTACAAGAGTGTGAAAGTGAATATGAGAAGAAATATGAGTGTGAGTGTAAGGAGAGTATAAGAGTAAATATGAGTGTGAGTGCATGTGTGTGTGTATGCGTGCATGTAATAATAAATCCAAATAAATTAAGCAGGAAAAATGTGACTTGCACAAAGAATTCTGTTCATATACCGTATAAACATCAAAACGTCACAGATACCTTATCTGATAACGCGGGAATTAAAAAAAAAAAAAAAAAAAAAAAAAAAAAACATATACAACACTGACTTCAATCCTTTACTGGCGGATCTAACTCTCTTTGGTGCTTCATGGCGATGCGATGAAAAGGAAAGAATACCCTTATCGCGTCTATTGCGATGTCAATAATAATAATAATTATTATTATGATCATCATTATCACTATCATTACTATTGTAATTATTTATCATCATCAATACCGTCACTAATATTATTACCTCTATCATTAATATCATTTCATTATCATTATTGCTGTTATCATTATTAGTATCATTACTATACTTATCACAATTACCGTTATTGCCATTACCATACTTATTATAAATAATTATTAACACTGTTATTGTTATTGTAATTGATATAATATTTTTGTCAATATCATTATCCTCTTCTTATCATCATCGTCATTATTAGTATTACTGTTATCATATTTTTTATAATTATTACTATTACT